GAATAAAATCCCGTAGTGTGTGTGCCATGTGTGATGTGTTGTACCTTACATCCCTGTTCTGCTGCATACATCATCATTTGTAAATGTATAGAAACCTACATGGCTAGTGGATGTAGTGCATCCAATTAGAGTTGGTACAGGTAGGCGTGTCACAGATGTGCTTAGATCCACACTGAGTCTGCAGCTTTAACCTTAGATACTTTATACGTGCTGTAGGTAGGTTATGGCCTTTATCTGATCCACACAGTGCTGTAGTGTTGTGAGATTAAGTGTTTGACGTATGATTAGATGTACTTGATGGAAGGTGGAAACCTCCAATCAGATTGCTGTGTTTGATGGTGGCCGTCCAATGGTCTTAGTGGGTCATTAGGGTTGGCGAAGGTTGAAATGTCTGCATATTTGCATGTGGTCAAGACACCGTGAAAGGTGCAGAGGGGTGAATTACAGCCCAGACTAACCCCAGCATCCATGTATCTTTTATTAGATGGAGAGTCTGGTTAAAAAGCAGAAGGATGAGTAAATATTCTTCCCTCTCCAAAGGCTGCAGACAGAAATTTATGATACAGGCAAGCCTGAAATATGTTTGCTGTCAAAAATGATTGAACTAATTAGGTAGAAAAGCTGCTGTTTTATGACTGTCTGAAGTTCCCATTAAGAAAAAAGTGTTTTATGTTGTATCTGATATCTGCACTAAGTAGTGTAATTTCATGTTTCCCAGAATTTCTCACCATAAATGTTAACCAATAAATTTATTTTTTATATTAATATATTGTGCATAATAACTTAGTTCCTTGTTCATAAAAAAATCTGCACAAAAGTTTACAAAGAATGAAAGGTGTTTACTTATGAGGAACACAGACCTATGATTCTACAAAGAATTTATTTTTTTGACATCAAGGATTTAAGCATATTGCACTTTGTATGAGGATGAGTGGGATTACATATCTAACAAAGATGCAGATTTGTAAGGTTAAATATAGCTACATGATAACATTCAAGGTTGCAACATTAAAGAACTAGTACTTACAGTATAAAAGGTTCAGCTAAATAAAAACCACAAGCCTCCGTTGTCGTTTTATGTTGAGACTTCATGCATCTCCTGGCCAAAGAACCTTTTACAGCAGCACCTGGGTGGGCAAGACAGCTTCTCCTTTGACAGGTACAGCATGGGCTGGATGGTGATGCTGATATCCATGAATCCAAAGGCGAGGTAGTAGATGTAACAGTGGAAGACATCGTGAGAGAAGTAGTCCTGAAATGGAAAGAGCGCCACAGGAGGCAAATAGTTGAAAATGATGACGGTCAGGATGATGAGGACCATCTTGAAGGCTTTCTTCTTGACCGGGTGCATCACATCCCGAGCTGGTCCAGAGCGCCGGAGGGTGAAGAGTATGGAGATGTTGCAGAATAGCATGATGGTGAAGTTGGCCAGGATCATGACAGTGAAAGCCTTCTCAAATTTTACGATGGTTCCCACACACTTGGCTGCCGCGTAAGCCAGTGTGAAGACCCACACAACCGCGGCGCACACTGACCGGTGCTGGCGGTCCTTCAGCGCCGCAAAGGTAATGGGATGGATCACCGCCATGTAGCGGTCCAAGCAGATGCAGGAGAGGAAGAGCGAGGATGAGTCTTTGATGCCGTAGAAGAAGCGTAGCACGTACCAGGGGCTGCTGCTCGTCAGATACGTGATGTTGGCCAATTCCAGCGGCAGAATGAGGCAGAAGAGGGTGTCCAGAACAGCCAGGTGCCAAGTAAAGATGTCTGAGGTGGAGGAGTCCGTTTTGTTTTTGTGCAAAAGCCACAGAACCATCAAGTTGGCTGGGATTCCCAAGAACATGTTAACAAACTGCAAGCCCAAATAAAAAAGGATGATGGCAGGCATGTGTTCGCACTGCTTAAATATGGTCACTTCCTGACCTGAGGCATTGAACCCTTTATTTATTTGTATAACAGAGTTGTTGATGTAGTGAATTTCCATGCTGACCAGCTGTGAGGAAGCTTCCTTGGATAGTTCCTCAGGTAAGGTTAGAAACAGATAGTCTGTTAATACACAGGGGTAAAAAAATCAGAATTATTATTTGCTGCACTAAATTGTAGCTGTCACTGCTAATGACAGATTATCAAATGTACTTCTTTGTATCAGATTAATAGAGGAAGTGTTCTCCCTTCTACAGTACTTCCTCGAGGTTCCTGCAAATGATTCCCGGAAAGCTCTCCTGTAAAATACTGGTAAGCAAGGGAATTGGAACTGGGAGATGGGCAGAGTTTAAATATAGACAAAGTCCAGCTCCACCTCTTAACATTGAAATCACACCTTGCCTGAGCATAGCTCCACCTCCTTTTGTCCAAATCACACCTTGCCGGAGCATAGCTCCGCCTCTTTTGTCCAAATCACACCTTGCTGGAGCATGGCTCTGCCTCCTTTAGTCCAAATCACACCTTGCCTGAGCATAGCTCCGCCTCCTTTTGTCCAAATCACACCTTGCCGGAGCATAGCTCCGCCTCCTTTTGTCCAAATCACACCTTGCCGGAGCATAGCTCTGCCTCCTTTTGTCCAAATCACACCTTGCCGGAGCATAGCTCCGCCTCCTTTTGTCCAAATCACACCTTGCCATAGTGTAGCTCCACCTCCTTCAATGTTAACGTCCAAATCGCACTTTGCCAGAGCAATGCTCCGCCTCCTTGTATCCAAATCGCATCTTGCCAGAGCCCAGCTTCTCCTTATGTCCATATTGCACCTTGCCAGAGCGTAGCTCTACTGCCTTCAATGTTACCCTTTATTTTTAATGTCCAAAAATTTAGTAAAAGATTCAAAGTGAAGTTTAATAAAAGGTCAGTTTTGCACTAAATATCATGCTTTTCATCAGTTTGATTAGTAGCTCTGCTTAGACATTCACTTCTCATGTGGATGAGATATTCCTAAATGACACCTTCATTTCCAACCCCTTGTTTTTGTATTTTGAATTATTTTGCTTACGGTGCTGCTGCCAAATCTTTACTCACTAACTAGATTTTGCTAGAGAAAAGGTGCGTGTTAAAAGCAATGCGTGAATGACTTCATATTTGAAAGCATTTTCACGGGGACATTACGAATGAATAAGTAAGAATGTTACTTTTAGTGATGAATCATTTTGATGCATTATGAAGTTTCATTTACATATTATGTTTCATAAAATTTTAAGTACTATTTAACCACATGATATTTATTAATACCCATATCAAATTACTTTTTGATCATGTTTTTTTAGTTTGTATTGCTTTAGTGATAACATAACATGCAGACAAATGGACATCCTGCATCTTTAAGATTGTGATCTTAAATACATATAGCAAATAAACCACCCCCCCCCCCAGCTCTGCCTCCTTAAACAGTAAGCTCTATACCTGAAAGGCTCCCCCTCCCCTCTGATTCTGATGTAACTCCTGGGGACGGTGTGCGTGTACCCTTAAATATTTTATCTCGCTTCAGAACCCCAAATAAACAGGCCTTTGCATTTAAATTTTTAAGTTGCCGCCCCCCCCCCACCTTCGCTCCTGCCTAATATCAAACACCCTCCTTTGCCAGGGTCGGTATTTTAGTGTTACCATAGATTAAAACATGCATTTGAAGCTTCCTTTTGGCACAGTAAAGTTTTAACTAGCATTTATGAATGTAACGACATATTACTGTATAGTGTTTGACAAAGGTTTGCCAAAGTAATGTGGTTATATAACCCATGTGGTTATATTGAATGATGATTCATGGTTCTCAACGCAGTACCACTGAGTGATCAGAGATTACAGATATTCACCTTAGGCTTGCACCCTTGCTATTTACACACTGAAATTCCAGATTCCAGAAACTCCAGCTTTCTTGAATCGTTTAATTATGTTATGCACCATAAATGATGCAATATCCAAATCCCTTGCTGTCTTTCTTTGAAGAACATTGTTTTCATTTTTTCAACATTTCAGTGACACGCAGTTCTAAGCAAATTGGCAGTCCTCAGCCCACCTTTGCTCCTAATGGATGCTGCTCTTGTACCAAATCATGATTACATGACATGTTGACGTCACCTGTCACCTGAAATGACATCATTATTTAATTATTTTATGTCATTACTACCCCTACATTGCCCCCATCCCAACATTTTATGGAATGTGTTGCAAACCTGAATGGCAGGAATGGATACAGAGTGTGTAGAGTTGACCAGAAAACACATGAAATCTTGTGTTCACACTGACTGCACTGAAATACATTTACAATCCACTGCCTTCTTTTCAAATTAAATAGCACTATTTATTAAAATACCATCGTAAGTCTAGAGATGGACAAGTGCAAGAAAATTAATTCTGTTGGACTCGGAAGACTTCGCTTAAGGCTTTGAAGTGCGTCCTTCGGGATAACAGTGTGGACACAAATGCCAGCTGCTGACTGCAAATTAACACGAATAACACGATTGTCGTTACAAGTAGCCTAAGCATAATCGTTTCAGTTTCTTTCCATTCCTCCTCCGTAACCATGCATCCAGTAAAAGCTGTCAATGTTCACTTTGTTTGGTTATCTTCTATCATTTTTAGAATGCTTTATAAGAAGAGCTGTGTTTTTGTCATACCCCTTTCATAAGTGTCTTATTTAATGAAAATTCATTACAGTAAACTATAGGTCAGGTCTAACCTGGTGACATATACAAACTGTCACATTTAGTGCCCAGCTGAGCTACATTTAGGTTTGTTTTGAAATTAACTTAACAGGCACATTTTTGCTAAATGTTATTGCTAACCTCTTCATTCATAAGGCTAGAGTCTGAAAACATATTACTGTTTTTTTACTGATAGGCCTTTTATTACATACAGAACCCTTCTTCCATTACTTTTTTCTCCTCCCATGTCCTCTTAAGGGCTTCATATTTTATTGACGCTTGACATCTTTGTTTTATTTTCTGTGAATCACTTTGTGACATCTGATCTTGTAAGGTGCTATATAAACTACCAACTTACTTTAAATATGAATTTGTTTATGCATAGTATTTCCAAATAAATGTGCCATTTCCGAGTTGCAGGCAGGACGCAGAGAATCAAGAACTCATTTGAAACAACTATGTTCTTTATTAGCTGTCCTGAAAAGGACACAACACATAGCTGAAGCACTTATCTCTGTTAACACTACTACATATAACATATGAAATATGACAGAGGTTACAATTTTACTGGCATAGCAACATACGGTGAACAAATATTTGGGTAGCGAGAGACATGAGGAGCAGGTAACACATTACAC